TAATAATACTTTGCTCTTCACAATATAGCTTATCAGTGAATCCTGATATATATTTTATGCAAAACATTAAAAGGTGGTTGCTTATCTTTTAATTTACCTTTTTTCCCCGTTCATGTTCCTGCATTCCTATGTTTTGAGATAAGGTGAACAAAAGTTCTACAACTGCTATCTCTAAGCTATGCATTCTGCAATACCTTCACTGTGTTTTTTCTGATTTACTCCCTCCAAGGTGAATGGTCCCAGTCTTTTAAATTTCCTTCAGACAAGGGTTCTTCCCAATCCCTAATCTTGTAGTCAGCCATCATTGCCCGGTGTCACATAATGAAGCAGCAGTCCCAGTAATAACTCAAACAATAACCCCTCCAGATCTGGTGTTCTGTCAGTGTTGGCCATTGTTAAGTTGGAGATCCTGAGTGCAAACACAGGCAGAGGAGTCCCCATGTGCCAAATGCAGACATAGACATACCCAACCCACGTTTAAAAACTAATAATTTTTTTTTTTTTACATTTCCTGTTTCAAAATAACTGCTTGGTATCCAAATGAAATGAGAATGAAATGTGACTAGCAGCCTTGTGACTGTTGTGTTGTATAACAAGATAAAAAGTACTTGGGATTTGTGGATTGAGCTTTTTTTCATTTGTCTTCCAGAGGTCAAAGTCCACTGCAAGCACTGACTGATACAATTCCCTGTGTAAGTCAGGCTGGACTGCCTGTGCCTCAGGTTCTAACAGCAGGGGAGTTTGTACAAGAGCACCTTGATAGGTGTTTGTCTGGATTTCTCTGTGGTCCCTGTGATGATCCTAGGAAGCAGGAGGAGATCCAGAACTGTCTGAAAGACAGGATTCTTTGAAATCCCAGAGAAGTAATGATGAGAGTTGTGGCTGAGGCCAGCCTGCTTCCCATTCTGTTTCTTGTATGTGTCCAAGAAGCTCCAGTTTAAACAATTGCACTCTAGTAAACAATTTTGCATGCTGATATGGGCAGCAGATGTTACTCATGCCTGTGTGAACTCTTCAGTGTTTTTCCAACAGGGATGAGCCTCGGATGGAGTCCTGTTGAACAATGGATGTACCCACCAGAAGTCACACTGGTCACAGCCATTCTGTTACAGTTTGCACAAAACATTTTGAAGGATGGTCACGCCATCCTTCTTTGGCCACTCAAGGGGATTGACTCACAAATATGAGCAAAATAAAATTAAATGGCTTAAGTGGCTGCAACCCCAGCTGTGTCCCCACTGCCCAATTCCCAGAAGCTCATCCCTGCAGCCAGCCTGGCTGTGCAAGGCAACTCCTGAGCTGCTGTAGTGACAGCCCATTCTTCAGGGTGTTAATATTTGTCTGGCTCCTCTGTGAAACAGTTTAGGAAGCTTAACCAGAATAAAAATGTGCGCTTTTCCATCTGAAGAATTATTTTTTAGTTTAATTTCTAAAATGGGCTCTGAGAAGCAGCAGCGTTGCTGTGAGGGCAGGGCAGAGAGAGATGACCTTCCCTTTTGGGATCAGCCATTACGTCAGTTTTGCTGTCTCACAAAACTATACCCTATGGTTATTTTGGGTGTTGGACTGCCTTAATTTTCTGGAGAGTGAATGAAGGATTAGCATAGTGTGCTTATGACATTTGGAAACTAAGCTCCCAGAAAAAAAATCATAATTCAGCATGTGCTGTGGTGGAAATGCTTAAATTACTAGGGATGGGAAAGATGGGTAAAACATGAATTTTTTACAATTTTTATGATTCAGCTAGGGGGTTAAATCCTTTTTAAGTTTTTTTTTGGTTTTGCTGCTTTTTAAGACCTCTAACCCAATGTCTACTATCCAGCTGCCTCTAGAGAGAGAAGTCTTTAAAGAGACCAGCTTTGTACCTATAAATAATGTACACAGCGGAGTACAAAAATGGAGTCAAGGAGAAGCTCCTCCTTACCTGAATGTAACTGCAGCAGCTGTGTGAGAATAGCTGTGGTCAGGCTGTGAGCAGCACTCATACCCTGTCATCCATCTTGACTAAACTGCTTCTGGGAACTAATTCTGAGATTCCAACACCTGAATATCAACTGGTAAACCCCAACTGCCTTGTACTGAAACACATTAGATGCCAGCAGCCAAACGTGGCAAGGTTTTGAACAGTGTGGTTATAATCCCCCTTGGAACTAAAGATCTGCTGGAGTGCTTTGTTAAGTGTTGGAATATGGAGAATTTCTCAAGTCTGAACCTCTGCTATAAATGAAAACACTGTGGCAAAAAAATGTAAATAAATGCCACACATATTTTGTGTAAGACACCTTCCCAATATCTATAAATATGGTAATTTTGGTGTTTCCCACTTTTGAGTTTTAAACAGGAGACAGACACATAAAATATCACAAAGCAAGCATTTTATTTTTTTCATGGATTAATTTTATAATTTCACTTTTATTTTACCTGAAAACAACTAATGGAAACTAAATGTAGTGTTTTAAAGAGGGTTGCCTTTGAAAGGAAATAATTTGTTCTTGAAAAAATAACTTCAATAGCTTCTCAGTTTAACTGCATTTTAATATGAACACAAAACTCATCCCGGGTCACTCTCCAGGAAAACTTTCTCATGATTCCTGTAGCAGTTGATTCATTCCATGCTGCCTTAATTTTGCAGCTTTAAAGGGCAGGTTCTCTGCAAAGCCATCTACTTCAAAGCTTCATAAAACAGAGCTTTGAATAAATTATTGAGTTAGAAATTATACTGGCTGTGCCCAGCTCTGTGCCTGGATGTGGGAATACTTGGCACTGGGTGTGGAATTCCAAGGAAAATTGCCTCTTTGCTGGCTTGCCAAAGAGCAGGAAGAAGGAAAACTGCTGCAGATGAGCAGACACGGAAATCTCCAGCTTCCCTTTCCAGAGAACACATCCTGAAGAACGGATGAATATTAATACACATTATAACTGGTTCCACACTGGGCAAACTCTGGCATTAACAGAAACTCCTGCTTCTGGAGGGGACGTGTCCCAGCGTGGCCATGGGCAGCACTGCCTGCTGGAACTACTCTTTCCTTTAAAATGCATCCCTGAGGATGCAACGTGGAATCCCTGGGAGTGGGGAAAGCCTACTGTGTGTGGACACACCATGTTGGGGTGGCATGCTCATGCTTCATGAAGCCCAGGCTGTGTTATTTTGGAATTTTTTTTCTCTCTTTTGCAAGCTTTAGATAATATAATACTGATTATAGCAGTGGCATAGTTGATTTCTTTCACAGAGACAGCCCACCTTCCTCTGTATTCAGACTTCAGTTATGTGTGTGTGGAGACGATTTGTCTATAATTGTTTGCTTTCTTCAGAGTCTTTTGAAGTTTAAATCTTCAAGCCAGCTCCCTATATTAAAAATAAATTCTTCCAAGCCACCAATAAAATGTCAGCTGTGATTAAAGCCCGACTCCTCATTTTAAGACTTGTCTCCTAAGCACTGTGAGGTCACTCAATGAGTCAGCGTTTGAAAGGACCAGGACCGTTATTGTTTGGGTAAAGCCCAAAGTTCATCATTGCTTGCTTAAATGGTTTCATCACCTTCCAAATGGCTTTGCATTGTGCTGAAAGAAATGTAAACTGCAGGAATGATTTGGCAGAGAACTTGTGATATTTCAGGCACCTCAAATCTTGAAAAAACCCTCTGTATTAATGTTCAAGTTGGTATTTCTGGTAAGAAAAAGCTTTACCTCCTGTGTAGTAAAGAGGAGGGTGAAGTGGGAAGCTCTGTCTGAGGCATAAACTTTCAACTGTGTTCTCTTAAAAATAAAGCTTGGGAACTGTAAAATCTCCAGACAAGGGCTCTTGTACAGTGCCAAAGTCTGATAGGGCTTCTCTAGACACATGAACTTCATTAATTTTGTTCATTTAAATGGTGAAAAAATAGAACAGAGCATTAAGCTGCAAGGAAAAGCCATGAGAAGTGAGTCCATACTATTTTCAGGACTATCTGTGGAGCCCGTTTATATTACACACATTAATTGTAACAGTCTTTAATTACATGAACACATTTTATTTTGTCACTTTTCCTCCCTGTTTGCTGCAGTGCACGCTGTTGGGACTACTTGGGACACAATTAATCACACCAGAGTAGCAAATAACTTGGAGCAGGACTTTGCCTCTGTCTCCAGCCTGTGTCACTCGTGGGTCTCCACATTCTCTCTGCCCTTTTCCTACATTCCTAAGTAACTCCTGCCTCAGTTCCTCACTGATCCCCTTGTCTCAGAGCTGTCTGGAGAACTGGGCCTTGGTTTTGAGGAGGAATCCCAAAACAGCAGCTGAATGTCTTGCCCTCCTGCAGTGGAGGCTGGCTGGAGCAGAGGCAGGAGTTCAGGTCATTTAGCTGCCACCACCCCCGGTGGAACATGCTCAAGTGGGGATAATCAGAGATTGAAATGGTTGAAATCTGTTGCAGATTCTGTCAAGTTTTAAGAGTTCTCCTTACACTCTCAGGCTTTCTCATTAACCTTTGATTTTTGTTAAGCATCATTTAAATCTCCGGTGCTTCTCCCGGAGTTGGACAGGTGCCTCTCCCGGGCCGGCTGGGCGCTGAGCGCGGCCGGTGGCGGGTCCGTGCGGGGAGCGGCTGCGGGTGGAGCCCTGGAGCCGGCTGAGCTCCGGCTGCCGCGGGAGCGCTGCAGCTCGGCCCGGCAGCGACTCGGGGCGCTGCTGCTGCCGCTGGGAGCCCGGCCGCTCACCGCGTTCACATGCCTGCCCACATCCCCTCCGCTGGGGCTGTTCCAACCCTCTCCGCCTGCCCCGGGGCGCGGTTCACCCGCTTCATGACGGCAAAACGCGGCTTTGCGGCATCCCGGGCCGCCCTCCTCCCGGTGACCCTGCGGTGAAACCCCCCCGGCGCCGCACGCCGCTCCCCGCCGGTTACGGAACACTCCAACGGCGAGGGCCGGGGCCGGAGCTAGCGCGGGGAGGGGGCGAAGCGCGCCCGTCCCCGGCAGCCTCACCTGCCGCCGGCCCGCGCGCCAGCCGCGTCCCCGCGCCGGAGCCGCACGGCCCAGCAGCGAGCGCCCAGCCCGGCCCGGCCCCGCCAGCCGCCCCCCATGGAGGAGCAGCCCCACCACCACCATCACCACCACCACTATTACTACTACGGGCACCACCACCACCACCCGCAGAGCGCCTACCTGCCGCCGCCCGACGGCCGAGCCCAGCCTAAGCCGCCGCTCCGCCACGAGCACAAGCACGGCGGCCCGCAGCACACGGAGGTGCCGAAGCGGAGACCAGGTTGGAGCGGGCGGCGGGACGGGGCCTGTGACCTTCGCGGGGCGGCGGCGGGGCCCCCCTCTCTTCCTCCTCCTCCGCCGCCGCCTCCCCCGGCCCGGCTCGAAGCTTCTCCGCCGCGCTGGGGCCGCTTCCTGTCCGCCATGTTGGGGCTGCGGGAGCCGCGGGCCCGCCGGCACCGCCGCCCGGGCCGGGCCGAGCCGCCGCTGGCCGGGCCGCAGCGCCGCAGAGGCGGTGGCCGGCTAGCGGCGCGGGGGGAGCCGATCCCGGGCAGGGCCGGAGCTCCCGCCGCGTTCCTGAGGGGCTCCCCGGCTCCAGCAGTGCCTCTGGGGGGGATTTGTGCGGGGTCAAGGCCAGTGCGGGGCCGCCAGCCGGCCCGAGTGCCGCGTACTTTTTTTTTTTGTTTTTCCTTTCCCTTGAATTTTCCTTTTACATAACGAGGCGGGAGGTGGGAGGGGGCCTGGTGGCAGCAGAGCGGGGTCGGCAGTGCCCCATGTGCAGCCTGGGCAGGCAGCGGGGGGACCTGATCGGGCACACGCTAAAATAAGTTACCGAGCAAAAATAAGTTGAGAAGTCATTTCACTGTTTGCGGCGAGCCCAGGGTTTTAATATGTGCCTAGGCTGGCACCCCTCCCTTCCCAGCTCTGAAACGGTTTGTGAGCTTGCCAGAGCCTCTTCACCTGTTCTTCTTACCGTCCTGGGCTTTTTCCTCTCCCCTAAATTTTGGTTGCTGCACCTCCGTGTCCAGGCCAAGGCCAGCTGTGCCAAATGTTGATTTGGAGAAAACTCAGGCAGCTGAGCTGTGAATGCTTGAGAATTGGAACTAGAAACTGCTGACACACTGACTTACTGAAATGGATTTTGTTCTTCATTTTATTCTTTCACTCCTCATCTGCAATGGTCTTATGACCACTCTTATTGTTTTGTTTCATTAACAAGTGGTGTTAGAAGTCTTGAGTCATACAAGGTCAGCTGTAACACTGCTCTTGAGAGGGCTTCCTCCTCATACTCTTCTGAAATACTTAATTTTAGAGGATCCCACCGTTCTAGTTCTCTCTGGGGTGAAGTATTTATGGTTAATTTTCTTAACGACATATTTGAAAGTTATAGTGGAAGTTGTGGTGGTTACAGATCCTTGCATGTAGTAAAATCCTTTTTGATCCCCCTCGGCAAACTCAGTTGTGGAATTTCTGTAAAGATTCCTACAAGGATTCTTGTGTTCCCGACTTGCACAGAACTTGAGCTGTTACATCTGCCAGACATCTGAGGCTCCAGGATGTGAGAGCAACAATGATTTTTAGTTACAGCAGTTAATTTCAACAACATCAGCAACAACAAAAACATTCTTCTTCCAAGCTGGAGTTTTGCCCGCTCCAGTCGTTGAGGGAGTCCCTCTCAGCGCTGACTCCGTGCCACCGTGGCTGCAGATGGAGCCTGAGGTGGGTCAGTGGCTGTGGGGGATGTGAGGCTCTCCAGCAAGGAGGACGGATGAGTCAGAGGAGGGATCCCTCTGCAGCTGGAGTGTTTGCTGAGCAGGGCACAGTGAGCTCTCCCCGTCTCCACTGGGGCTCCAGGGCTTCTCCTGGGGCTTTAGCCAGGGTCCTCGAAAGCAGCAGGCCTCTGGCCAGGGGTGTTTAAAAAGGAAAAAGCAAAGAGGAAGTTGGGGTGGTTCAGTGTGGACTGTCCTGGGCTCCCAGCTCTGAATTGCGCTCCCAGAACCGTAAGGCCTGGGAGTGAACTTCAGAAGGAAAGAGGAAAGCTCAGTTTACAGCACAATCTTACGGTTTTAGGAGTTGGAGCCCTCAGCAAGTACTTTATTTCTTGGGTCTCAGCTCTCCTGGGGACTCTGAAATGCAAGTTTTCCAGTGGTCAAGAGACCCATTGCTGGTGGCAGCAGAAGGGCACTTGCAGGGATGCATTTCTTAGCTCTGTCACCTTTCCACTGCAAAAGAGCACGTGTAGGGAGGTGCTGATTGCTATCCTGAAATGCAGTGAGGAGATGTGGCCACATTTTCTTCCCTCCATCTTCCAGCTGGACTTGCACATGTCCTTTTGGAAATACTGTGCTTTTTTTTTTTTTCCCATCCCTTAAGTGAGATGGCATTTGGGAGGAGGGTGGGAAGGAGCACTGCTGGTGTTGCAGGCCCAGGAGCTGATGGAGATGGTAGGAGTTGTCCCTTGTTCACAGTGTGTGTCCTGAACCTCCACAGATCTTGTCACAAAGGCAGTGGATCCCGCTGTCTTGAAGCATCCTGGGAATTAATTTTTTCCTCTCTGTGACCTGGAAATAGTAGCTGATGAAATAGCTTTCTAGCTTGCCAGTGATCCTCAGTACAGTGTATTTTCCTGGCATAGTATCTGTATTTTCTTTTGCTTTGTTATGCTATCTGTCTGTCACTCAGTTATACGAGAGTCAGTCGTGGCTGGTCCTTCCTGCTTAACCCTTCTTGCTGTGGGTTCCAGCAAATAAATTTATGCAGCTTTACCTCAGAGACTAGATATTTTCCTATTTTAAAATGTCTGCATGAGGAAACTGGATATGTTTGGGGCTGACTACAGCTTTCTGCAATGACAAGTCTAACATTTCACATTCTAATTCTTGCCTTTTGCTGTTTTTGGCTTCCCTCTAGGCTACGGAGAGCTAAATGGTAACGCAGGAGAACGAGAAGTGTCACTAAAGGGCCTGTGCTCTGATGAAGCCACCGCCCCAGGATCCAGGGTACCCAATGGCAGCCAGCAGCTCGCAGATCCTAATGTCACCCCAAAGCAGACTGTGAAGGCCAGTGCTTTGGGGAAAGCTGGAATCAAAACCAAGAACTTCATTCAGAAAAACAGCATGGACAAAAAGAATGAGAAGTCCTACGAAAACAAACACAGAGAAAACCAGTCCTCAGACAAGCCAGAGGGAGTGTCTATTCCAAACGGCGTGGTGACCAATAATTCCAGCTACATCACAAATGGCTACGTAGGCAAAGGGGCCGACAACGATGGTAGTGGCTCCGAGAGTGGATATACTACACCTAAAAAACGGAAAGGCAGGCGCAACAGTGCCAAGGGTTGTGAGAACTTGAATCTAGTACAGGACAAAATAATGCAGCAGGAGGTCAGCGCACCAACCTTGAAACAGGAACTTGAGAGTTTCAAACCTGATTATAGTGAACAAAAGGGGAATCGAATTGAAAATACTAAGCCTGTTTGGAAATATGAGGCTGGGGCTGGTGGAGCAGGCCGGGGAAAGCCTGGGCTCGGGGAGGTACCGCGGAAAAACTCGGATGCCAAACCTGGGATTAGCAGCAAGAAGTTTGATGACCGGCCCAAAGGGAAGCACGCATCGTCGGCTACGTCTAAAGAGGACTCATGGACCTTATTTAAACCACCCCCAGTTTTTCCAGTGGACAATAGCAGTGCTAAAATTGTTCCCAAAATTAGTTATGCAAGTAAAGTTAAAGAAAACCTCAACAAAGCAGCTCAAACCCCATCCACGTCATCCTCATCGTCTTCATCATCCACTGGGGAAACTCAGGCCCAAACATCAAGTCGACTGTCCCAAGTCCCCATGTCTGCTATGAAATCTGTCACTTCTGCCAGCTTCTCCAACGGGCCGATCCTCGCTGGGACCGATGGCAGTGTGTATTCCCCAGGAGCCCAGCCACTTCTCTCCACTGCTGCTAGTACTGTACCATCGACCTCCTCCTCCGAGTCTGTACCCCAGGACGTGAGTACAACTTCGACAGCCCTCGAACAAAAGAAATCTGGCCTTTTTATCTACCCTTCAAATATGCAAACTGTGCTCCTGGGGACAGCGCAAGTCGATTTCCCTTCACAGACGAATCAGCAGAACCTGGGGGATATCTTCCAGAATCAGTGGGGCTTGTCTTTCATAAACGAGCCCAGTGCTGGACCTGAAACCGTTGTGGGGAAATCTGCGGATAATCAGTTAATGGAAGTGACATTTCAAGGGGAATATCCTGCCACTTTGGTTTCACAGTGTCCTGAAATCATTCCCTCAGGAACTGAACAACCTGTGTTTCCTAAGGCTTATGAGCTGGATAAACGGACTAGCCCTCAAATTCTTAGTGCTGTTCTTAAGCCTGGGACTGCTGTTGAGGGTGGTGTCTTAGCTTTGGAGTCGCATCACACAGGTGACCTACAAAAGGCAGACACCGGTAGCCAAGGTGCTTTAGTGTTTCTTTCAAAAGACTATGAAGTAGAGAATCCTCTGGCCTCTCCTACGAACAATTTGCTAGCCTCCGCCAAAGAACAGAGGTACCAGAGAGGCCTAGAAAGGAAAGATAGCTGGGGTTCTTTTGACCTGAGGGCTGCTATTCTATATCACACTAAAGGTAATGGCTTAACTTGCTGCCTAAGGGCATTCTTTTAATTTTTTTCTTTTATTTTTAGAAGTGCAATATTCTAACATGGTATGTTCCTTCCAGCAATTCTAATTGTTTTAGAAATGACCCTTTTCTTTGCTTGCATATCCTCTCATGGCAATAACGGTCGGGGGAAGTTACTCAAAGGGTTGTTTAATTAATGTTAAGAGGTATTTGTTTCCCTGTTCCCGCGGACAAGCATGAGTGATGTTGAGAGAGATGATACTTAGCAGGTCCTCGGAAGCCACTCGGCATTGGAAGGAGTTAAATGTGTAGATTCAGCTGCTGAGTTCCAGCTGCACCAGGTGATATTTTGTCACTGTGAAGGCTTCATAGTCTGTACTCACACCTCTGCCACCAAAGTGTTGCAGCTTCTCCCCTGGGCAGATCAGACCATGAAATCATGGCTTTGAAGGCAGAAAAAATTATTCCTACAACTGTAGGTGTGATTTATTTTTTTAAGTGTGCCCCACACACACTTTTTCCCTGCCCTTGAGTATTATGGCAACAGCAAGACCAATCTTTTCTTATCAGCTCCTCTGTGAGCTGCAGATTGAATTTTCTCCTTGTCTTTGTAGGCCACATCTTTCAGATGATTTTACTGCTTTCATGGAGTCCTTTGTAGTCCAGCTCCCTTTTTTTTCCTGTTTTTTTTTTTTTGAGATTGAAATGACTCAAACACGATACAGACACTTTAAAATGGGAACGAAGAGAGGGAAGCCTGTGGCATGGCTTGCTTTCTGCTTTAGCCTCAGCCCCAGCAGCTCTGAGGGGTTGAGGCAGTTTTTGGCTTTTGCTGCTGGCTCAGTGTTAGCAGGAGCCTGGTTGGGTGTTCCCTTTTGTCACAGTGTTATTTACTCACTCTTGACCAACACTGGGGCAGTTCCTTTTTCTGACCCCCTTCCCTCTCCCTGCACCCCTCTACCCTGAAGAGAACAAGGCGATCATGCTTTTTTCGTTTAGCATTCCGCATGCAGATAAGGGATAATGTCTTGCTCCCCTCTGCAGAGGGTGGCTACTTGGCTTTGGCAAATTTGCTGTTTTCATCCACTGCAAAGTTCTTGAATTACCACTTCACAAACTCTGTATGGCATAAACTCAAATGCCTTCCTGTAATAATAACAAGTCCAGTCATTTAAAAATAATAACTCCAAGTATTTTTTCCAGGTCATCTCTCTCTCAAGATGTTAACATTTCAAGCTCTGGTATTCTTGAGAGCAGTGTTCATCAATTGATTTTACCTGGGTCCTCTCCCTTCTGCTCAGTTTATTCCAGCATTAAAACAGGCTTTCTAGTCTCGTTTTTTTTTTTGTGTGTCTGCTTGCAGCTTAAATCCCAGCTTCCCATCAGAAAGCATAACATGGAAGAAAATCTTTGGTGATCTTTTTCTTAATTTTGCAAATATTCCCTAGACTTCTGTTTGCCTCTCTGTTGTCAGCCTGAACTTGTGGAGAAGCAATTGTGCTGCCAGCAAGGCTCATCAGCTCTCCCATTCTCACTTGCTGTGAAAGGCAGACCTCAGTGAAACAATAGGAACAACAGGAAAATAAAGAACACTCCCATCCCCTGTCCTCTCGAGGAGGTGTTAACTTCAAAGCCTGGCTGCGTTGAGCTCTTCTAAACACAGGAGTTAATTACATTTGTTGGCAAGAATGGCCACTTGAAGTACCCGTTAAAATACTGTTCTCTGCTCTTCTTCTGCATGTGAATGGTCTTGCTTTGAGCATCCAGAGCAAACACCCTCAGGATAGCCTGGGGATACCTGATCCTGCCCCAGCACTCATCTCTGCTAATTTCTTTTTCACGTTATGTATGTGCCATCTTCGAGATGTTACTTAGGGGTAAAAGATGATTGTTTCTAATCAGCATTGTCATTATTGTAGTGATGGGATGCTCCAAACACCTTGGGCTTGTCTTTCTCCTGTTTAGTGATCAAAAGCTTTACAAAGCAAGACATCAGTCCAGGCCTTAGTATAATGATGGTGGGTGTTGCATTTCATCCTTGGGGTGAGTTGGGTTAAGGGATTTTTGGAGGAAGGGTGCCTCCTGTCCTCTCTTCATGGCCGTGGTCCTCACCAGAGCCCACGGTGTGTTGTGAAATGCCTCAAAAACGAGGGGTGTGTTTGCAGGACAGCAGTGCGGGGGTTAATTCCCACACTGTGCTCTCCGTTTATCTTGGGCTCTTTTTCCTGAGGTCCAGCTCCAAGCCTGCAGTAGGAAAAGAGCGATTTCACTCGGTTCCTTTTCACAAGCTGCCTTTTCCTCCTTGCTCGGGAGAGCCTGTGGCTTTGCCTGGGTCGGTGTTAGGGCATTCCGGGTTTTGATTTTGAGAATCTCGTGAACTTCTCCCTCTCAGATTGATCTGTTTGCTGTTGGGCAAAGTCTCGGTAGTTTGATCTTTGCATCTGCCCTGCCCTTGGGGTTATGAACACAAAGAGAAACGATCACAGGACAAGGACAGAGGTGAGTGTGGAGCTCTCTGGGGTCCCGGTGTGTTCCCTACCCTGAGCTCCATGTGCACTGTTTTAGTGCAAGGATGAAGCTCTGGGGCTTGCAGAGAAGAATGAGCTGTAATGTGAGTGGTTGCAGTGCTTTGAATGTCACAAATTTGCACTCTTTCTTGCACTTTTTGTGCCTGCAATTGTGACCAGGTTGTGTGGATCCTCATCCTGGACTGTAAATTTCTCTGGGAAAGCCTCCAGCTTAGTCAGTAGCTTTGTTCCAGCAAACCAGGCTTTCCTGTGCGTGGTTTGCCCAGCAACTGCACAGGACATTATAAACTGTAATTGCTTCACAGCTTCCCTGTGGAAAGATGGAGAGAGGAGGTGGCACCCAGAGAGAGCTGGCTGTGGTACCGTGCTCCTGTAACTCACCACGGTGTCCCTGAGTGCAGGCGAGGCTGGGTGGCTGCAGGGCACAGCGAGGTCCTGCTGGAGGATTCCTGTGTTCCTTTGCCTGTACCCTGACTGCTTTTTCTCCAGAAATCAGAGCACTAGGAACATTTAGGCAAGGATGATGATGCACTCTCTTGTTCTTCTGGGAAGCTTTTCCTCTTGGTTTCCTTGTACCCCTGCTTCATGCCTTGCGTCTTTCTTTTTTTCCCACTCTGTTCAAAGGGCAGAAAGACTCCCTTGATCATCTGATCTGCCTGAGTGTAAAACACAATCCTTCAATGTGGCTGCCTTCACTGACAGCCCGTGCTGCTCGGAGTTTGTGGTGGTGCCTTGAAACGCTCAGGGGTGACAGATCTGATTTACCAAGGGAGATCTGATTTAGCTCAGCCCTGGTGGGCCTGCTCTGGATGTGCTTGGAGACAGGGGTGGGCTTCACATGGGAGACTGGAAGGCCCAGGAAGGAGCAGTGCTCTCATTCAAGTCATTGTCCCCTATCTAGGTTAAAATTGAACTTGGTGTGGCATTGCCAAAATCCTTATCTTTTTGAGGTAAAACTGATTCTTGCAGATATTTTGGTCCTTCACATAAAGAGGCTGAGTGTATATCAGCTTTACTTGCATCAAAACCAGCATCTTCTTACTGCTTTAGTCCTTCTTTTAAAGACAGCTGGATGAAACACTTCATATCAGAATAATTGTCAGCACTTTGGAGAATTTTGTCATGTTCAGGCAATTGCAGTCTTCCAGGCCAGGCTGTCACTAACACTGAGCTCTAGATGGCAAGCTTTGTGGTAGGAAGCTCAATAATTTGCTTGTCCTGAGCTAAAAAGCAAATAATTGAGGCCTCCAGCTCAGCTGCACAGCAGCAAAGACCACATGGGTGGAGGAGAGGGAACTGCAGGGTTTCCCTTGTTCTTGCCCCTGAATTTCTGCCTGTGCTGCTGCTTTGTTCCTTCTCAGCACCTTGGTTGCAGCAGCAGCATCTCTGCTTGAGTGAAGAAGCAGGAGAGCAGCATGGAAAATAGAGCAAGGCAGCGTGGGCCAGCCAGGAGTGGCATTTGCTGGAATGGTGAACTGGGTCAGAAGAAATAGCAGAGCTGTGAATTCAGCAATTTTCATCCTTTACATCAGGAGAGGGGGAAGAAAAGCCTTGGTTTCCCATCCCCCTGAGGTGGGAAGGGGTTAGAGCTTGCTCTGTTGGTTATGGCCTTTTGGGGCTGGAGCTGTGGGGCAAAAGCTGATTTAATTCTCCTTCCAGTCCCTGCTCTTTCCAGTTGTCAGGATGAGTGCAGTGTATGCTGTACAGCCATCAGTCTCCACAGCATGGAATACTTATTCTTTGCCTTGTTTCCAGGGCAATCCCTATACTTAATCATTGTCCTGCAGATACAAACAGCAAACATCAGACAAGAATGGTCCCTTCTTGTTATTTCTTCAGTGTTGTATTTTAGGGACAATTTTGGGATTTGTAAGGACAGTGAAATAGTAGCATGGCATTGTGCAGACACTTGCTGCCTCTCTAGCAAGGAAAATGTGTGTAAAAGTGCCTGTCTTAGCAAGTCATTACAGAAACACTTCTTTCCCCTCCAAGGTTATGTACCAGTCCTGCTGTAAAGTTTATTGACCTATGAGGAATCCCAGCACAATTCACCAGAGTGTGCTTTGGTCTGTTCCTGACATGAAAGCTTTCCTCCAGTGACCCTTTGTTTCAGTGAGTCCCAGAAAAAGTGGTTTAGGTGGATGTGGCTGGGACTGTCTGCCCCAGGCAGTTCCTCAGCAAACCACTAGCCTGAGGGCTGTGGAGAAGCCAGCTAATTGTAAAAAAATATCCTGGAAAACGAGAGGTTGGAAGGGGCACAGGAGGTGACCTAGTTCTGCCCCTGGCTTGGAGCAGGGCTGGCTTTGATGCTGGGTTGTGCAAGGGTTTGTTGATGGCATTTTCTGCAGCTGGGTTGGAATCCACTTGAGAAGAAAGTTTGCTGTTGCCCCAGCCCCATGTCTGGTTTTGGGAGCAGTGGCTCCTGTTGGGCAGGTCTTTGGAAAGCAGCAGTTTTGGGGCAGTATCTGAGAGCCTGGACTTGGGCTGATGGTGAGGATACCCCTGTTTTCATGCAGGGTGAGCAGCTGTAGGAGTCCTTTGCTTAAACTCACTCTGGAAGCTTTATCCAGGGGAAAGAGGCTCAAGAAAAGAGCTCTGAGCTCAGAAGGAGGGCTGGAAGCAGGCTTGGGGCCTCTTGCATGTCCAGTTCTTGGGGGCTGTCTTTCCATGTGCTTTCTTGGGGGAGCAGTGGCTCTGCTGAGCTGCCTGTCCACCAGGTCAGTCACCAAGTCACCCTGTGACAGTGGCCATGCATTTGTCACAGTGCCTTTAGTCAGTCACAGGTGATCACAGCCTCAAGCTGGCAGGAAAACTTAACTGTATTACCAAGTAAAGCAGAATAAATCATACAATTCCATTTTAAGATTGCAGAAATTCCTTTTGTCCTTAGTTTTGTGTTGCAGTTAGCTTGGGACTTACTTTCTTTTCCTTTGTAAAGTTGTTTCACTTGGTCAGTGTGCTGAACCTGTGCTGTCCTCTGTCCCTGTGCTGCCTGGTGGAGGGGAGGACCTTGCTCTGCTGATGGCAGGTGATATTTAGTAAGAGCTGTTATTGCATTGCTTGCTGATGGTCTTCGGTTTTGTAGCTTGGTCCTGCTGAGCATCTGCCAGCCAGTGTGTTCAGGTGTCTGGGATGAACAGGACACTTTACACCACCCTCCCTTTCTGAAGGAGGAGAAGGGAGATGGAAATCTGAAAAGACTTAGGTTTGTTAGATTTTTTTGCAACAGAGTTTTGTCAACTTAGTAGTTTTTTGGTGTGTTCTTAACAGTATCTCTGTTTGTATGTCTGTGTATCTGTTTGTCTTATTGTCAGATACTCTTAATACATGGAGGTCACATTCTTGTGGTGTCCAGAGCAGTTAAGGCCAAATGAGGTGCACAGGACCATGGTCTGTGCATGGGGATGTGGTGGTGGCTGGTGCTTCAGCTCTGCCTTGTATTTCATGCTCAAGTATTGCTCTAATATGCAGAAACCAACAACTTGAGAGTAGTTTTCTGTCCCAGGCCTTTGGGGAAAGCTGTTAAATGGGAGATGTTCTTTAGCTGTTAGGAAATGATGCATCAAACTGCGCTGAATGGAAAACTCACTCCACAGGAGGTAATTTTAGTAGCTGGTTCATTTTACTTCAGGGGAATCTGCATCTGGCAGATGAGGGAGGCAGTCCCTCGCCAGCCTGCTTCTGTCCCTGGGGTGTTAGAGGCTGGCTACTGTTCCCAGAGCACTTAGGGCTCCCCAATAGAAGTGCAAAGTGTTGCTGTTACTATCCTGGAGCAAAAATAACAGACCTCTTAAAATTTTGTCAGGGCTTTCCTTACAAAAGGCTTAATTGTGCAAGGAGGGCTGGCAATATTTATTTGCATGCAATTTCCTGCCCCAGGGAGCTGGAGATTGTAGGGGACAAAGGACAGATGAAGGGTTGGAGAAGGGAGGCGATTGATGGAGGTGACACTTGGCACACATCGTGCTGAGGCTGTGGGTTTTGTAGGGCTTTTTCTTCTTCCTTTCCCATGCTGGTTAGCTTACTCACTGCCTGGTTTTGTGCTTTACTGCATATCCCATGTGGCCTGATAATCTCTTGCCATTCCCTTTTCCTAGCCCCTACCAAGGTCCTGTCACCCTTTCTGGCAGAAAAGAGACTTGAAAGTGGTTCTTGGAAGATTGTGTTCCGACTAATACTCATTTTCTATAATTTTGTCTATTGAACTTGGGCACAGGGTACAGTCAGAATCTTAAAAAATATTCTAGCTCATGAAATTCCAACGTGATAGCTGCTCAAAGTAGTTCTTTTGAATGGTTCTCTAAAGATGCATCTTTGTTTGGGGGATATTTTAAAGGGAAGAGCCTTCTGTTTCTCAGTGTTAATGAAAAGAACATTTAACTTTGCTGTTATTTCTTAGATAAACAAAAGCATGTGCATGTCCAGGGAGAACTGGGAAGGGTTTGCCTTTAGCCTACAAACGTGTTGTAGAGGTGAACTGTGGGAAGAACTGCAAGGCAGGTGTGTGGAGCATCACCCCTTGCTCCTGGACAGTGCACTGGCAGCAGCTCTGCAGAGATGTTCTCACAGCAGCACACGCCTGCTGTGAGCCATGTGCAGCTCGCTGTGTCCAGCACTTCTCATTTCACACTCACTAAGCATCAACTTGTAAAAATCATCTCTCCAGGCTCCTTGTTGAGGCTGTAATGTGCAAAGCAGCGTTGGAGTCAGAGTAGTAAAGCCTGCAGTTAGATTGTGATATGTAGGACTGGTGAATGGTGATGACATTTCTGATGCTCAGCTTGGCTCTCTGACCCTTAAGACCATGTTACAGCTATCCCTTTGCCTTTTATTGCTGGATTATTCATGTCAGATCTGTGTGGTCCTGTGGGCTGGGGCTGTGCTGCTGGGTGGGAGGGGTTTGGCTCTATTTGAAAGCCCCAGCACAACTGCCACACTTGGAAAATGAAAGTGTGTTTGGAGTGGTCTCTAATGGCAGCATCAATCTGCATAATAACAGTGGTCTCCTTTTGCCTCCACAGAAATGGAAGCGGTTTGGAATTTGCAGAAGCAAGGTAAGGATGTTGGAAGGAATAAGTGAACCAAATTGCTCTGTCTGTTGGGAGGGGGATGAACGAGAGTGGATTGTCTGTGTCTGGAGATGCCTGGGTTCATTTCTTCAGCCCCTGTGGTTTGTAGTCTGGATTTATCTCTGTTTCAGATCGCTGAAAGTCGGGACAAAAAGCTTTGCTATAATGGTGAGCTGCTTGGCATGGAGCAGAGTCTCTAAAAGCAATAAACCCAGTGTCAAATTAGATTTAATGACTCTTCCTTATGTGTATACAAAATTGCTTTCTATTTCTGGCATTGGGTGTCGCATCCAATAATAAGTTTTAAATTCTGGTGTGTCCCCACAAGTCACCTGAGAGGAGATTTTGTGTGGGAAGAGCCTGTATGTGATTTTGTATGTGGAGACCTGTGTGCTGCTGTGGGGAGCAGGCTCTGCCCTGGGGGAGCCAGCCTGGCCTTGGGGTGGCTTGGCAGGAGGGGGGCATCCAGAGGAAAAAGTCTGTTAACATCCAAGTACTCTGTGTTTATTTTCAGCCACAGGCCCTGAAAGTAGCTTGTCCAAAACTCAGGATTCTGCTTTCTTTCCAGATCCCAAAAGGATAATCACTTATGATGAAGCCATGGATCGCCCGGATCAATGAAGGTAGCAAGACAAGACTGCCTGTTATAACCTTTCTGCAGCATTTGTGCTGTTCGTGGGGGACAAAAAGGCTTTTATGCTCCTTCTAAATCTTCAGTGCAGCAGAGGAACCATAACTAGAATCACAGGATAATATATACAAATATATATATAGTTATTTAAAAATGGCAACTGAAAGTAATTAGACTTCTTAAGGAATCTGAAAATTTATTTCAACGAGACTACACACGTGATTATTTAATCTCCGGTACTGAATAGATTTTTTCTTTTTTTTTTCCATTTTTGTTTTGTTTTGTTTTTGTTTAAAGAGTGAATGCAAGTGATTAAGGAATACAGACTCAATTACAAGCCCGGTTTCAAAGTTCCTGCTGTCGTCTGCATGGGCAACAGCAACCCACTGGAGAGGCATTTCCACTTGACAAGGTTTCTGTTTCTCGTTCTGTGACTGTAGTGACACACTAATCACAGGGAAATCAGGATGAATCACCATCCTTCATCTCCTCTTTCCCTTCCACCTCCCCTGTTTGGTTTCTTTTTTTTTTTTTTTTTTTTTTCTGATTTGTTTTCCATTGAATGCTGGAGAAACACCTTGAAGTTTGCAGAGTTTCATTTTTTTTTGTTTCCAGAGAATTATAATCCGCATGTTTTGCCAGGAGTAAAGCAGCAATCCTATGCTGGTGATATTGTCTTAAAAGGATCATTCTGCTGAGGGAAAGATGGTAATACTGCAGTTCTAGGATGCATGGTGAAGTCACACAGTTGACCTGGCTCCTGTTACACGTTGGACTATTGCAACTGAAGAGTTACTTCATTTTAAAAGACAACATGAAAAAATAAGCAATCTGTTTAGGCATTTAATATGGAGGAAAAAAACCAACAAAAAAACCCCACTGTTCCCACAGTTTAATGCCATTGTATTACTGGGAGCAAGAAAAAAAAAAGACAAAAAAAAAGTATCTTCTGCTTTCAACTGTAGGTGCTTCATATTTGCTCTGTCTGTCTCCTAACACTAAATGTGCTGGATTTTTTTCCCATTTTCATTGGAAAACTGAAGAGGAATTGAGTTCTGCTAACTTTCACCCTTCTTGAATTATTTTTTCTCTTAAAAAAAATTCAAAATAACAAAAAAAACCAAAAAAGTTTAAAAAAAAGAAAAAAAATGGGAATTTGAATCCTTTTCAATTTGTCCATAGAATGCCAATGGCTGGGCTTCCTGCCCCTTGGAAATGCTCTTTTATATTTTAATGCAGTCTGTGTATTTCCGGGCTCTGCTTCTAATTATCTCTTAATAAAAATATATTTTATTACAAAAAAAATGGAGGACTTAGGAATGAAAATAATAATTTAAAAAAATTTAAAAAAAAAATAATCCCAGGGAAAGGAAAGCTTCCTAGCAGTGGTAGGGAAGGCTGAGCAGAGTGCAGGCTCCAGCTGTGTAACCCCTCTGTCCCATTGCAGTTTGTGTAATGTGTCCCAATTATCTGGGGGTCAGGTAGTTTTTCTGGGTTTTTTTAAAAGGTGGAAAGTTCACAGGGTCCAGTGCAAGAGTGAGAAATGAATAAAGCAGAAATGGGTTTGTTGACCAGCCCCAGCTCCCCATGTACCCGGTGCTCCTCGTGGGTGTTGGTGGCCTAATCCTGCCTCTCCAGATCAGCAGCAGTTGGTGTCTCCTAAAATGAGACTGGACCCTCTGGGGCATGAGGAGGAGTAGAAATACAAAACTTTGGAGTACCCTTTGTGTTTAGATCTGTCCCTCAGGCCATTGGGCTGCTGTCCAGTCACCAGAGGGTCCCACAGGGCTCCATCCTCAGCCCATTTCTCTCCAACATCCCATTAACAACCTGGGTCCAGGACTCAAAGAGAATAATTTTGCTGACACACTAAACTGGAACTCTTGACACCCTCAAGGGCAGAGAGCCCTCAACAAATTAGAGATGGGCAGTCACCAACTGTGTGAAGTTTAAACAAGGGCAGGTGTTGGGTTCTGGACCTGGATAGCCTGGGAGGCTGGAGAGCAGCACCATGGAAAGGGAGCTGGGGCTCAACAGTGTCCTGGGGGCACCAGGCCCAGCATGACCTGTCCTGCTCTGCTCGAGTTCTGGGCACCACAACATAAAAAAGAGCATCCCAAGGAGGCCATGAGGATGGGGAGGGGTCTGGAGGGGAAGCCTGATGATCACTTGGTTTGTTCAGCTGGAGAAAAGCAGACTGAGGAGAGGAGACTCCAGCATCCTCCCAAGGGGCAGCAGGGAGGGCAGGTACCAATCTCTTCACTCTCATGACCAGTGACAGGGAACAGCCTGAAGCTGAGTCAGGGGAGGGTTGGGTTGGATACCAGGATAAGGTTCTTCACCCACAGGGAGGTTGAGCACTGGAACAGGCCCCCCCAGGAAGTGGTCACAGCACCAAACTTGTCTGAGTTCATGAAAAATTTGGACAATGCTTTCAGGCACAGGGTGGGATTGGGGTGTCCTGCACAGGGCCAGCAGTTGGACTTGATCCTGATGGGTCTCTTCCAACTCAGAATATTCTATGATTCTATCGCTTTCTCTTTTTTTTTCTTCTTTTGTTTTAGTAGGAGTATGTAGCATGTGGTGGTTTTTTTTAATTGTTTTTATACTTTCAATAAGATTGTTCCTGAATGAGACACTTGAGTTCATGGTGGGACAATGAAACTGAATTCTGTACCTTGTGTAAGACGCTCGCTTTCTGCCACGCTTAAACATTTGACTATGGATTGCCTACTCCATTTGATGTATCCAAAGCTATATAGTATAATACTGAGTGTGATACTATATAGTCATCATGTATTGTATCAGTCCAGGTTCAGAAATGTGTGGTTGGCCAGTCGCAAATAGTTCTGTTTCACCTATAAACTTGTACCACCTCTGCAGGTGTGTGTAATAACTTTTGAGATGCATAACATGTTTACAGATGTGCCCAACATCTAGTCCTCCAACGTTCCTATTTTTAATTCTGTTGAGTCTCCCAACTGCTTGCCAAAAGTTGGAATTGCCTCCAGCTCCACTGCTGAAGAGCTGGGGCGTTCCTGAGCTTTAAAGTGTTGAACAAACTGGATAGTGGGGCTGGGAAAATGAAGGTGGAAGAAATGTTCTTTATCCTTTATTATTGTTATTATTATTATTTTCAAAAAGTTGAAGGCTAATAGCAAAGTTTCCAGTTTGTTTTACTGGCTTTAAGGCTCTGCTGTGTATTTATTTGCCTTGTGTAGTCACTTGTCGCCTTAAGGGCTGGGTTCCATTAAAAAAAAGAAAAAAAAAAAAGAAAAAAAAATACAAAACCCTGTTTTGCTTCCCTGGGGTCTGTGCTGTCCTGTACCCTGCCCCAGGTCCGTGCTTGGGGCGATGCAGGAGTTGAGCAGCACTGACCCTGCACCTCTAGAAGGGTCTGAGTCTTGCTGAATATTTGAGGACTCTCATCTTGGCCTAGTCCAGTCTGTCACCTGAATAGCAAAGAAATGCTGAGAGGAGCTCGGTTCAAGCTGGGTTGGGCTGGATTCCCCCTGATGCTCATCTCTGTGGCTTTGCCTCGCCAGCGGGACCCATCCAGAAACACCCTGGGCAGCACCTTCTCTGCTGTATTTCTGACCATCCTCTGTTCAGATGTCTGTCTGTCTGTCTGTCTCCATGAGCTCCACGGCGTGTGCTCAGCGCTAAGCAGTTAGGAATTCCTCTCTCTGAGCTCCTGTAGCTCCCTGCTGTTTCTGGGATAGACTATTGCCTAGAGCCAGGCAGGACCATGGAAGGAACTTCCTCGTGCTGTCGTGTAACTCACCCTGTCGCTGTCTGCAGTCCTCCCCAAGTCCTCACACAATTCTTAACTGAGCACTTATTAAAAGTATCTTAAGATTTAATCTGTTTTCTGATTATTTTTGTGTAAACTTATAAAAAAAAAGGAAAAAAAAAACCAAACTGAAATTGAGCTGTGACTAATTTAGCACATTGAAATAACGATAAGGTGTTACTGATAAGTCTCATGTTTTGTTTTGTTTTGTTTGACTCAGAGTATTAGTACTGTAGCATAAACCAAATACAGCCTGGGAAGGGGAGCAGCAGCCTCCTGTCCTGGGTGTGCACCCGAGGGTGTCTGTGGGGGCGAGGAGCCGGCGGTGCGTGTGCGAGCATCTGACTTGTGAGGAGAGCGAGCGTGTATTTATTTGTGCCATTGTTTGCATTACACTGAGTAAAGAAAGTTTTAAAACAAAACCCCTGCAGTATGTCTAGTATCGGAAAGCAGCACTAAGGGTGAGATCATGGCCTATTTTTTTATTAGCTATGAAGATACTAATTCAGGTTAAGGCTTCTCTCTCGTTTCTGTTGCCATTGTTGAGTTCCTTTCCTCTGGTTCCCTTTCCAAGCTGTCTGTATTGGAGTGAGGGGCTGTCTCCTTTCTCCTCTGGTCATTCCCCACCTCTCCTTCTCTTCCAGCAGGTTCTTTTGGGTGTGTGGGTCTTGTGTAAGAGACTGGAGCATGTAGTGCCAGCCAGATCCAGCTTGGGACCTGCTTGCTTTTGGTGGATCATGGAGTGTTTGTGTGCTCCAAGAGGTGCTTTAACAACTGCTCCATGGCAGTGGTTTGGGGCCTTCAGTCTCTGCTCTCTCCCACTCCACCCCTTTGGTGGATTGGCAAAGCAATGGCTTTCAAGCCTTGCTTGGAGTTTGGTTTTAGTTTAAACCCACCTTGATCCTCCTTGAAACCTGGTAGAAATCTCCTGTCTCTTTGACCAGTGGCTACCTCCAGGGCGTGGATTCTGTCACTAACCCACTTCAAACCTTTCTGAGCTAGTAAATCCCACTTTTTGCCTTTCATAGCTGCTGTGAACTTCTTTGAAATGTGGAAAGAAACCCAATTCTCACTAGGTTGTGAGTGGGGTGGCTGGGAGTGGGTGATGGGTGAGCCAGCTAGCTAAATGGAAAGGAAAATTGCTTCCTGCTAGGAAAAAAATAGGAAAAAAAGCTGGAAATTGTGCTCCCAGTTGTGTGTGTAATTAGTGCTTTCACCTTCAAGGGAGTGTTACAATAACACCATAGTGTCCTTTCCCAAGTGGCCAGTGGGTGACCTCAGGGACATCTGGCAGTGGTGGCATTCCCAGCCAGAACTGCCAGCAGTTTTCCTGTGTGTCCAGGTTTTGATCTTGATTCAGTAAATTGCTATGGTGTCCCAAACTTTCAGGAGTCTTGCCCTCTCATTCCTAGAAGACTTTCTGTCCGTCCATGCGTTGTGATTTTTCTTAGAGAGGCTGTTTACAAGGGAGCTGGCTGAGGGTGGGAGTGGAGAGAACAAGGATTCACCCACTTTAAAGCTGCTGCACGTTTTCACACTGGTGTGTAAGGCAGGAGAAGGGCTGGGGTGGTGGAGTAGCCATGAAAGCCACAGTAATTCTGGCTGTGGCCACCACCAGAGTGTTTTTCCATGTGGGAAGACCCTAGTGCACAGAGCTGGGAAGAAGGAGCAGGGCTGGGGGGAAGGAGATCTCAATGTGCTGCCTCCCAGGGATTACGGAGCTTTAGAGGTTTGCCCAGTACATTTATACCCCAGGTCAGGCTGGCTCCTCTGTCCTGCCCAAGATCCTCTAAAGCAACAGGAGGGTGGAGCTGTGGATGTCTGGGGAGGTAAAAGAGCCCTGTGGTGGCCTCATGTCCTGGGCATGAGCCCTCTCCCTGTGCTGGAGTGGAGCAGGAGTCCTGCCTGTGCCTCACCAGGGGATGCTGAGCTGGATTTATCTTGACTGTTAATCAGAAAGCTTCATATAACGTGTCCAGAGCTCTAAAGCCATTTTGTAAGATAGCAGTGTCCCTTTTCTACAGCCTTATTAATGAGTAGAAGATCTTCAAAAAGAAGAAAAAAAAAAAAAAAAAGAACTGATCATTTCTTTCTCTGGTATGAAACTTGTGTTCTGCGAACTTCTGAACATTTAGCAAAAATACAACTTACAGTTTTCTTAAAAAAAAAAAACAAAAAAAAAGAATTGCTCATTTCTTTCTGTGGTATGAAACTTGTGTACTGCGAACTTCTGAACATTTAGCAAAAATACACCTTACAGTTTTCTTAAAAAAAAAAAAAAAAACCAACAAAAAAAAATCCCTGGCCTGTCTGCTTTCCATACGGTCTTTCCTCAGGTGCTAAATAAGGGTTCCAAAAATGGATACTGCTTTAGGAGTTTCTGCTTTATTCTTAAAATACATATTTTTTTGCTTAGGTGTTGTAAAGATATTTTAACAAGAATGTTTTTTTTTTTATGTAAATAAGATTGTGTCTTTAATTTTTGTTTTATCTCCTTTTTGTCCATATTGAATAGTCTAATTTTCATTTTTGAGAAGGACCCTCTTATGCCCTTCCCTGAAGACATTTCATTAAGTGTTGCTGCATTTAAGAACGAATCTACAACTGTTCATTGTCTTGGATTAATGCTGATGCTGCTGCTATAAGTAACCCTGAAAATCAAGAATGTGTGATGCACTTTTGTTTTTCGTTTGTGTTGTTTTGTTTTTTTAACGTGACCATGTAGTTCCTCTGCAGATAGCTGAACCCTCCTGTAACACAGCCACTAACTGGGGGAGTGTAGGAACTGGGGGAGCTGGGGTGTAGGACAGGGGTGGACCTGATTTTGGTGCTGACCTATGGGAATTTCTATGCAAACGCAAGCAAAGGAGAACTCTTTAACTTGAGAGAACACTGTGCTTTTTTATTTTTTATTATTTCTTTTTCTCTCCTTCCTTTTCTCAAGCTGCTATTGGAAGGGTAGTGCAAATCCCTAAGGTTTTCAACTTCTCCTTCCTCCATGGCTGGTGGTGCAGGAAAGGTGCCTGAGTAACTTGTAAGGTAGAAAAACCTCAGTCAGCTCTTGTCTCGTCTCTGGTTTTAATATATTTGTTTTCTATTTGAATTTACCTATAGAAGGAAATTGCTCATCTCTAAAAAAAAGATCTTTTGAATGCTTTATCTCAATGTGAAGTTAACCAGCAGTATTAAGGCTTGCCTGGCCTCCGTCCTGCCCTTATCCCAGTGCTGCTCCTTCTCCACCTGGGGAGCTCTCGGTGCCTGGGCTTGGATGTTTTCCAAGAAAAAAGTGAGGTGAAGCCATCCACCCAGCCAAAACCTGCCAGTAAAAGGCTTTGGGAGCAGTGGAGGGAGGTCTCACTGCCTTGAGGCACAGGCAGGTCCAGAACCTCTTCCCTTTGTGGGTCACACCTGGACCATGGTGGGAGATGCGTACCCTGGGGGAGGAGTTTACTGGAGGGCAAAAAGGGATTTTACTTGACTATTTATAGAAGATCCTTTAGGAATATAAAGTACCTCTCTGCAAAGTGGGGGAAGAGTAAGGAAGGTCTAAAGTCGTGTAGGAGAAACACTTGGGGATTACAACTGCCTGGAAAATAGTCAACAAATACATAGGCCAGAGCTTTCTGCCTGTTTAGTTAGTTTTTTCAGCATCAATTGATTTCTTTTTCAGACAGCGTTTGCTCTTTTGCACACCGAGGTGTGTGTGTACATCTGACTCAATGTGCCTTGCATGTGTGCTTAGTCTTTCTGGAGAGAGGTGCTGGGGTGTGAGCTGGGGACGTGGCCTTGAGGGCCACTCCCCATCCACAAGGGTTCCTTAGTGTCCCAGTGACCCTTGGGATCAAAATGAGATCTGGACTCCAGCCTGTGTAGTGGCTGTCTTAGTTTGGGGATGATGTCCTGTGCAGTGGCACCTGTGACTTTGGAGGGGAGTGGGAGAGAGAGAAGGAAAAGCTGCTTTGCTCTTCTGCAGACAAAAAATCGCCACGGTTCACCTGCAGAGCCAAAACAAATCGAAGTCTGGAACCGGCTTTGCTGGAGTTCAGGCTCTCTGTGGCACCATGATCCCATTATCCAGGGGATTTATTCCCTGCCAGGTTGTGGTTCTTGTTTCTGTGGGGTTTACAAGATTTTTTTTTGTAAAGGAGAAGTCAACACGCCTTGCTTGAAGTTAACGAAATCCAAACGCTTGTGTTTGCAGTCAGTGACTCAGAACTCCAAGCTGTGCAATTCTGGGTTCTCCATCTCCCGCCCCAGCGTGTGATGATTCTGTCCGAGTCTTTCTGTACTTCTGCCACAGTAAATGTGAAAGCTTGCTTGCATTATTTTTTAGAAATGCATTTTGCACACTCGGGTTTCGCTGAAGCTCCGTGAAAAGGTTAGTTTGAAGCAGATGAATAAAGCTATGCACATGTTTTGAAAGTTTAATTTGTGTCTCATTACCAGAAGTGACTTATCTGCCCTCTTTTGCATTCCTGTGCTGTCATTGCCTCCATTCTCTTCACCATCTCGGAGGGTATGATGTAAGGTGACAGTTCTTTGCTGACAGCTGTAGCAGAAAACTGGCGCTTCTTGATTTTTTTAGTAGCCTTTCTCTCTCCTTTGCTTTCTCTGTATCTCTCTGTACAGCTATATAAATATATATATTATTTTTTTATTTTAAAGAGCCTACTTTAGTAATTGAATTGGAGGGAGCGGGGTGTGCTGGCTTGTGTTTCAGATACACTTTGTGCTGTCGGATGAACCAGTGCCCTTTTTGTCTCTGGGGAGGACGTGCTGGTGGCACCCACCGGTGTCCCCATGGGGACAGGGATGCCCCCACGCAAAGCAGCTTTGGGGAGGGGATGGAGACCAGTCCACTGCGCTGCAGGCCGGTGGCGTGGGCAAACTCGAGGCTTCTAGTGACAAAATGACCCAAGAGGAATCCTGCTGCTGTGTGTTCCCACTGTGAGGCAGGAGGGACAGGGTTCCTCGCTATCCCGCTGCGAGGCTGGAGACGGGGTTCCCTCCAGCCTCAGGGGTGAGAGCTTTATTTTGGTTTTGTTTTCATGAGTTAGGTGCATTGGGTTGCAGGTACCACCTTTGGAAACATGTTGCTTAGCCCAGAGCCTGTGTGCGGGAGAGTCGGGGTTTTGTGACGGGAGAAGGACCCTGACAGCTTTCTCCTCCTGTTCCCTTCGCCATGGCAGAAATTTGTACTAACTTGACAGCTTTTTTTCATACAGAACAGGGCTGCTTTTCTATCTACCATCACACACGTGTACTTACACACCTTCAGCGGCTTCCCAGCTTCTGAAGGTCCTCAACTTGTTTACTGGGGGGACTGATGCCCCTCTCTCCCCCTTCCCTGAATATTTCAGTGTTAAGGGCGGTGCAAAACACAACCGCGCGCTTCGACTGCGAGCTGGGGCTGGAGGGATCCCTGCAGGCAGAGCCGGGCAGGGTCTGTCTCCTCTCCTGCCCCCCTTCCCCGTAGATAAGTTCTCATTTCGTTCCTGGTTTGTATTCAGATCGCTGCGAGGGGTTGTGCTCTGCCTGCTCAGGAGCTGAATTACCTCTGACCTGCGGAGAGGGGCAGCCCCTCTTTGGTGTCGATGTTGTAGTGTGCGACCACACGGATCAGTAAAGGTAGTCTTTGTTTCCTTCTCCCCTCCCCGGTGATTTCAGATTAGGTTAATGCACTCTGTGTGCCCAGCTGGAAAAGCGTAGGCGTTTTCCCAGTGGTGAGAGGGTGGCTAGAGGAGTTTAGTGTAAAACCTGCTGTAGCTGTGTCTGGCGCAGCCCCTTGCGCTGGTGTGGGTGATGTCACGGATTGTAAGGATAGGTAATGTCCATGAGCTGTAATGGCATGATGTATCTTTACCAATGATGTCATACTTCACACTAAATGTTTAAAAAAAAAAAGAAAAAAGAAAAAAAAAAACAACCTTACCTGAAATTTTGTTTATTCTGCACCAACAGGTCTTCAAAATTTATCCAAATTTTATTATTTTATCAGGAAAAAAAAAAGAAATTTGTGTAGATCGAATACGTTAAGACAGACAATAAGTGATGTAAATTGTTGAATAAAAATTTTAAAGTTTGTGGGTGTCAGTGTGACTTTCTTTTTTGCGTTTTCAAGGGGCAGCCTGGGTTTAGATCCCAGAGGTCTGGCAGTGCTGGCCATAGAGCCCATGAGCTGTGTGTACACAGGTGGGGTGGATCCAGGTGCCCTTTACTTTGTCAGGGGAAGGAGAGGGCAGGGAGGGAAATAAAGGTTTCTGTGCAGCAGTAGGGGTCTGAACCTCCCTCATTGTGAGCCCCACCTCACTTAAAGCCCAGCTTAAAATAAGTTGGAAAGAGTCTGGTCCCTGCTCCTGGGTTGGGGATGTGCCACCTCAATCCCAAACACACACCAGCAAACACACACCAAGCTGATTTATCTTTTTCTTTCAGTCACATTTATTGGCAATTGTGGCAGTCGGTACCGTTTTGGGAGTGTTGTTCCATAAGCAGTGGCAGAACGAGAGGGGGTGGTTATTTCGGGAGGGGAGTATTAGCACCAAGAGGGAGCTGGTGAGCCTTCGAAACCTTGCAGAGATGTACTGGCAAAGTGGGGAGCTACTGCTGGACACGCCTGATGGATTGGATCTGGGAGGTCTGGGCGTGCGAGCCCCACTCTCTCCAGTGCTTGTAGTCTCCACCGTGGTGGTCAAACTCCAGCACGTACTGGTAGCCACGGTACCCGGGATACTGGTAGCACACCCAGCTGGAAGAAAAGGACAAAGAGGTAAGCGGGGGGGTTACAGGATGTCCCCCTCCCGCCGTGGTGGCGCAGGGATGGCAGGGGATTGTCCCTGCTGCTCCTGTCCTTGGCTGTCACTTACGCGCCGCACTGGATCTTCATGGAGCCCACTTCGTTGTTGGCCCAGCCCATGGCCTGCAGCGAGGGGTAGTCATCAGCAATCTCCCACTGGCGGCCGATGAAGTTGTCTTTCTCAAAAATGGTGATCTTGGATTCCTTGTGATTCTGTGGGGGAGAGCAGGGGGTGAGGGGGAGGTGGTGCTCCCTCCCCAGCGTGGGTGGGAATGGCAGGGCTGTCACTCCCTGTGGCATTACTCAGAGGGTTCCTGCAGAGGGAGGTGTTCAGACCCTGGTTGGTTGGAGTTTTCTGGGTGGCTGGGAGGTGTCAGCTATGCCACAGCTACTGTCTCAGCTGACTGGTCATGTACAGCTTGCCCAGAAATTCCCTCCAAATCTTTAAAAAACAGGACAGGAAGAGCAAATCCTGCTGGGACTGTGGGGGGAAGCGCTGAGCCTGCCCCCGGCATAGCTGTGTTTTCCTTTCCTAACCTCCCTGCTGCGGCCTGGGGCATTTCAGCGGGACCGGAGCTGCGAGGGACACTCACGGCGGAGCAGACGGGGCGGAAGGACATCAGGCGCTCGATGTGGTAGGCGTTGCTGCCGCTCCAGGCGTCCCAGCGCGGGTACTCTCCCCTCTCCAGGATGAACTGCTGCCCGCAGAAGCCGGTGTGCTCGTAACCCACCCAGCTGCAAAAACAGAGCCAGGGCTGCCAGGGCTTCCTGCAGCAGCTCAGGGTATCCTGCTGGGAGCTGGCATTAGGGGCAGGATGTAGGGGCAAGGAGGAGGTTGGGGTCTGGCCTCTGCACACAGGTTGGGAGGAGAGGAAGCGGTGCTGGATGTGGGCAGAGAACCCAGGGAGTGTGAAACTGCATCTGGTGCTGCAGCGGCACCCACACGGATCCCTGGCTGCAGTGGGAGGTGGGGAGATCCTGGGGTCCATCCTGCACAGGTGGCTCTTCCCCCTGGCTGCTCTGTCATCATTTATGCAGACCATCATCGCTTCAGAATGCCCCAGCTGACCTTCTCTCCCAAAAGCCTAATTTCTCACTTGTTTCTCAATTACAACCTGACACTGCTGCAAAGACCTGAATTCCTGATGCCCACTGCAGGCAGAGCCCATCTGGCTCTGAGCAGAGAGCAGGGACCTATGGCCTTTCCCCTTTCTGCCTCCCACTCTTGCTGAAAACAAACAGGGAGAGGTGAGCTGGGATGCCTCCACCCTGCAGGACACATTTTGCAAGCCCTGGTGCTGCCCACACAGCACCTGCCTGTCCCCAGGGTGGAGATGTCCCCTTAAGGAGACTGGGGACAGAGCCACAGGCAGAGCAGGGAGACAGAGCCTGGGCTGGGGGCTGGAAGGTGGGTGGCACGGGCTGTGCAGTGCACGGATCCCCTGCTGGTGGGGTACAAAGGGTGCTGAGGGGGTCGAGGGTTTCCTGCCACTGACCCAAACTGAGCCCCAGTGCCATGTCCTGCAGCTAGCCCGCCCTGTGCAAGGTGAACAGCCTGATTAGGAGCACATCAACTGGAGCAGAGAGCTGATTACAGCGTGAGCACGCACGCTGCTGTAATCCCATTAGCATTACACGTCCTAAAGATAGCAGCACAAATCTGTCTGTCTGCTCCCCGCCCTGGCGGGATGCACACCCGGGGAGCTCTCCCAGCACCCCGCCCCTCTGAGCTGCTCGGGAGGTGCCTTGCCTGTGCCAGGGAAGATTCCCAAGCACAGGGAGAAGCCCAGTTCTGCTCCCTACCCCTCTCAGGACTGGAGAAGCTGCGGGAAGGTTCTGCCCTGCTCTAGGAAGCTCTGCAGTGGCAGGGAAAGCCCAGGGCACAGCAGGGCTAGGCCCTGGCCAAGTGATTCTCTAGGGCTGGTGCTTCAGGACAGGGACCAGGCTAAGTCAGGCCACTCACTGAACACTGACCCTCTCTGCATCCTTGGGCAGCAACCCTGCTGCAAACCTGACTGGTCCAGCACTGCAGGGGGCAGTTTTGGGTAATGCCAGGTGTTGCCACTGTCCCCTGGCCCTCTCTCTGTATCAGTGCTACCCAGGGGCAGGCTGCTCCACCCTGGAAAGATGGGATTCCCCCATGCCTGGCTTCCCTTGGCTGCGGTGCTTTTCTCCAGCCAAGCAGAGTGGGGACAGCAGGTCCCACTCCACGCTTGGGCACCCCTCTCCCAGCCACCCTGACTGGGAAAACATCCCCTCCTCTGGCAGCTGGGTACTCACGCGCCACATTCCACCTTCAGCGAGCGGATGTTGTCGAAGCCACATTCCATGATGTTTGGACAGGCCGAAGTGAACTCCATCCTCTTGCCCTGGAAGTTTTCTTGGTCATACACGGTGATCTGGAACGGAGAGCAAGCTGCCGAGTTGGAAACTGCCCGGCAGTGGCCCCGGGCAATCCAGCGCCTCTTGGAGACGGAGGGTGGCTCCGTCGGGGAGAGAGCCAGGAGCCAGCCGAGGCTGCAGCGGGCACCCTCCGGGCTGGGCACAGCCCCGCACGCCTCCGCGTCCCTGCACTGCTGGCCCCGCGACGCCCTGCCTTGGTGTGGGGGAGCCGCAGGCCGGCCCCCGCTCCGCTCTCCTGCTCACCCCTGCCGAGATCAGTTCCCGGGGCAGCGCTGCCGTCCGGAGAGAGGAGCGGAGCCGTTCTGGGACGGGCGGGTGGCAGGGCTGTGGCTGGCGGTTCTCCCGGCCTCTGCTCCGAACGCTCTAGGGCAAAGAGGATTAACGGGGGAAAGGGCGAGGGGCACCTCCCTGGGGGCTGCGGCTGACGCTTTCCTCTCCCGCGACAGCTCCAGGCTTCGACGGGATGCTCCTCACTCGTGCACGTGTTTCTCCTCTCCATCTTGGCCCCAGGGCTATTGCCAGACCCCTTGCTCCCCAACTTGCTGCACAGTGCCCACTGCCCATGCTCACCCTGTCTGCATGAACAGGGGAGGGTGAACTACAGCCGGCGGCTTTTGGGGACTCTGTAACTGCCTGTCATGGGGTGGCTGGTAAGAGCAGGGCACAGCTGGCCCGGGGTGCTGTAAGAGCCTCATGAAAAACACCCGGGAGGTATTTGAGCAGGCAGGAGGCACATTCCCAATGGCAGAGGACAGGGGTGCCTGTTTTCTGTGCTCATCCCTGCCTTTCTGCTCACTGTGCAGCTTTCCTGGCCCCAGAGGATGGGCTTTGCCCTTCCCTGTTCCCTACCTGCACACAGGAGAGGTGGAATACAGGGAATGTGAGGACGTACCTTCCACGGGCCCATGGGAACAGGCAGAGGGTTCGTCTGAGCCATCTTTGCTGCTGGATCGGTGTCTGGAGAAGGAAGGAAAAGCCATTTTTACTGCAGCATGTCCCTGTGCATCCCCCCCTCACGAGGCTGGGACAGCTCTGTGCCCACCACCCACAGCGCCTGTTCAGGGACAGCTGCCCCACTGCTGGGGACAAGCCACACCAGTCGCAGCAAGACCCTCTTTCCAGCCCCAGGATGGGGAACAGGACACAGTAGGGGGCTGTGGGACACATCCAAAGCAAGGTGCTCCCTTCTCACTGCTGCAGAGCCCCTTCCCTCCTCCCTGCCGCGGCGTGGAGCCTGCACACCCACGAGGGCACGGTGCCCAATCCCCCTTTCTCCTTCCCCGAGGCCAGACTACCGCTAGGAAAAACACCCCTGAGCCAGAGCAGGGTCTTCAGTGGGCACGGGCTGCCCTGTGCAGTGTCCAGCAGACCTGCCTGATCCCCTCTCCCTGCCCGGTGTCCCCTGGGAGGCACAGTGGGCTCCCACAGACAGCCCTGGCTAATGGTGGGAGATGCCAGCGTGCCGTGCCGGTGGGTGCCAGCAGTGGGGTGCCCTGCTGTAGAGGGGCTCTCAGCCCCCCCGGCTGCCAGCAGGGACGTGTGAGCCTGTCTTATGCCACGGAAAACAGCGACAGTCCCTCTGGGTGTCTTTTGCCACCAGGCAGGAGGAAGGGTGTCTGCCCAGCCGGCTGGCAGCAGAGGGGTGAGGTGGGAGAGGTGCGCATGGGTCCAGGACTCACCTAGCTCAGGCGGTTACTGCTGCTTCGCCCATGTAATGTTTGCCTACTTCAGCGGCTCAGCTTTTATAGGGTACTGCTGGCCGGGAACCGGTGCCAGCGTTTGCAGAGCCGTCAGCACAATGCTTGCTCTGGCATTGTCCCGCTGATCCCCGGAGATTTCAGCTGCTCATCCCCATGGTCTGAGCCACATTCTTAGGGAAAAAGAAAAAAAATTTGATAATAAAAAAAAAAATAATCGGGGCGGCTGTTTGCACAGATAATCTTGGGCACAAATGACTCAACGATTTGACCGAGCTGGCATTTTCCAGGGGCAATGCACCGCGCCGTCACGGGGTGAGCCTGGGGGCTGGCCTGGCCCTGGCGCCGGTTGGCACCGTGGGGACAGCAGGGACACCTCCCCGTGAGACCCTGCGGGTGGTGGGCTCAGCAGGGTGTCTACCAGGCACTGTCCCTTCGCTTCACCACCTGAGGCGTGTTCCCTGTCGCTGTGTTGGCGTGGACACCCTCCTCCCATCACGGGCGAGGAAGCCTGGAGGTGAGAACCGGCATGGCCCTGGCAGACATGTCCCCATGACCACACCGAGCCCCAACGCTCCCCACAGCGCTGCCACCACCACAACCCCACACCCGAGACCCCTACCATGGCCTTGGGGAGGCCTCGGCCCTGCAGTCCCCACATCCACCGGCCCCACAGCCCCCTTGTCCCGTGGGGCGGACGCCGCAGGCCCTGGGGCACCATGGCGGGCACAGCGCGGGCCGTCGGGGGTCACGAGGCGAGCGTGGCGGCGCGGGCTGCTGCCTCAGCGCATGGCTGCCAGCACAATGCTCGCCCCCGTCTGACTGCCCCTTTTGTCTCCCCGCTGGGCAGGCGCGGCCGCACAAAACAAAGCGCCCCGTCAGCGCTGCCTGCGGCACGGCCTGGCGCCCGGCCCGGGGGACCCTGCGGGGACGCGCGGCGGGGTGGCTCCCGGCCAGACAGGCCTGGTGGGGCTCGGCGGGGTCCTGGGGAGCCCTGCTGCGGGCAGAGCGCTGCCCCGGTGGGGGAAGATGGGGTTTGTGGGGGTTTTTCCCCTTGCTGGCTGGTGAGGGATGGGGTAGGGGTGGGATCGGTGTCACCGCGGGGATCACTGTGACACAGGGCTGCGCCCCCAAGGCCTGGCGCGACAGCTGGCAGTAGCACCGCATCCCAAATTTGGGTCAGGGAAGGGGAAGGGCACGACCACCTGTCCTCTGCAAGGTGCCAATATGGGGCTGGTGGTGGGATGCTCCTGGGAAACCGAGCCAGCACACTCCCTGTGCACCTGCTGGGCATCCCGGCTGAGGGGGCAGGTCAGCTCGGAGCTCGCCCTCCAGCCCCTCGGACATGCCCTGGTCACGGCTGCGGCCACCCCCGAGTGTGGAGGCTTTGCCAGGAGCCTGGAGCCACTAGAGGGAGAGCTCAGCCTGAGCAGGATGGGACAGCATCGGCGCATGCGGGTGTGTGGCACTGCACACCCCTCTGCACCCCACACGGGCACCTGCCTCCCCTTGCTACAGCAAAACTGTCTCTGGCTGAAAACCACCCCAGATCAAGGCCTGGATCTGGCAGCCACCCCAGGCCAGGGGCAAGGTGGGGAGAAGCAGCCTGCACAGCCCACTCTGGTCATGGCCAGGGATGGGTCACTCTCAGCAGATAACAGGACCCCAGTATGGCCCAGGCTGCTGTGGACCCCCCAACCCCTCACCCTGCTGGTGGGGCAGGTGTCCCCCACCAAGGGAACACAGCAGCAAGTGCCTGGGGAGCCAGTGATGCTGGCGGGTCCACAGGTTGTCCAGAACAACTGGTTTTTCTAGATCCAAGAGACTATAAAAATGCAGTGACCTATTTAGGGAACCCCGCGGTGCTGCAAAACAGATGCTTCCCCTCCCAGCCCGGCTCCGGGCTCTTGTCCTGGCCAGCCATGTGCTCCTGCCAGGGGCACACAAAATGCCACTGGCACCAGAGCTCTGTCCTGCTTCTGCATAGAAAATCCTGGGCAACACAGAGAGTTTCCTTGGGTGAGGGAATTGCTGGTGCCTGGGGAACCCTCTGCTAGGGAGAGCTGCTCAGGGCAACCCAACCTGTTTCTGGCAAAGCCAGATGGGATCACATGGACAGGAACAGCTGGCCAGTTTGCTGGAAAACAGAGGGTGATTAGCTCTGGGGATGCGGCACGAGAGTGGCCCCAGTGGGTGGCTGAGGGTGGCAGAGCTGTGTGGCACTGTGCTGTCCCACAGCTCGGCAGTTCCAACCGGCATCAGCCCATCACCACCTGCCCAGTGTGATGAGGAAGAGGAGCTGCCTCGGGCTGTAACTGGCTGCTCACCCCCCTCAGCAGGGCAGAGCTGCAGCCACACAGCGTGTCCCCCTCGCCACCGCAGCTGGAAAACCCTCCTGGAAGCTCAGACAGGCTCTGCTGCCCTTCCAGATCACTCGACCCCATCCCCGCTCTCCGGATGGCTGCGGCTCCCTGCACTTGGTGCCACGTGCCTGGGACAAAGGACAGTGTGACAAAAGCAGGCGGCTGAGCTCACTGCCGCCGTCCTCCGCCCTGCACGGGCTGCATCTCCTCCACCACTGCATCCCTCGGGCCAGGGCCCGGCACAGGGCTCCTTGCTCAGCTGCCAGCTTGCTCTGCCATGCCCCATGTGTCCTGCTCTGCTGCTGCTGGGCAGTGTCCTGGGCACAGGCTGTGGGCTGCAAATCACAGCCAGCTTTTGCACTGTGGAGTGGGGCTTGTGACACCCAGACAGCTGTGTCCCAAGAGAGGTTCAAAGCCTGATGGCAGGAGAGCCAGGACCACACGACTCAGCCAGCAATGGTAGGACGGCAGCAGGGGATTGGAGAGTTCCCTTGGGCAGGGGACTGTCCCTGTCATCTCTCTGAGCTTCCCAATCAGAAATTGAGCACTGCCTGGAAAGTGCTCTTGGAAAGAGCTTGTGGATGCCTCTCTCAGGGTTCCCTGTTCCCAAAGCCACTCTGCAGCTTCACTGGGCCCAGTTGCTCCCACACCCTATAGGAAGGGAGGTTGTCCCAACACTGATATGGCCGGGCTTATCCTGAAACCATCTGTCCCAGGATTCTCACTGCATGTGACCAACCCCAGCGGACACCAGTGGAAGGGGTGTAACAAAGACTATGCCGCTCTCGCTGCTGGGTGTGCTGGGAGATGCTCACTGTTAACCCTGGGCTGTCTCCTGGGCAGAGCAGCCACTATCCTCACAGTCAGTCCCTGACTGCCAGGCTGCCAGCCCTCGCTGGGCACAGGTGCTGTGGGACAAGCTGCAGAACAGCTCCACAGGCAGCTCTGCCATGGCCAGCTTTGTTATCCCTGCACTGGGGCCACCAGGCACCCGTCACCCTGCTCCAGCCGGCAGCCTGGAGCCTTCCCTGCCTGCATCCAGTGCTGTTCCTCATGGGATTCTTCCGAAAAGGAGAACCCCGGGAGTGCGTGTGTGCATTGTGCGATGCACGGCGCTGCGTGTGCGCAGCACTGCGAGCTCACAACGCGTGAGTGTATGTGAGGACCGGGGGTGTGTGCGTGCGGGGAGTGCCGGATGGACGGCGTGTCACCGTGCCACACCGCGGGTGTGCACACACCGTGTGTGCGCCTGCGGGGGTGCGGGGTCACCCCGGTCCGCGGGTGCGCGGGGGCGGCTGCGCCCACACCGGCTGCGGCCGCCGGTCCGTGCGGTGATTACAGCCGCAGGGTTGCGGGTTCCGCGGGCTCCTCGGGCGGGCAGCACCGCCTCTCCGCTCCGCTGCGCTCCGTGCCGAGCGGAGCCGCGCCCGGCGCGGCGGGCGGCGCGCGCAGAGCCGGCAGTGCCCGCCGGCCGAACCGAACCGATCCGGGCCGGGCCGGGCCGGGCCGAGCCGAGCCGAGCTCAGCCGTGCCCGTGCCGGTGCCCCCGCGGCGCTGCACGGCCGCTGGAGGTGGGTGGGTGGGTGCGGACCCCGCGGTGCCGCCCCCCGGGTGCGGGGTGCGGGAGCGCGCATGGCCCGCTCTTGTCTGGCAGCGCCTGTGCAGCGCCCGGTGCCACTCGTGCGCGTGTTTGCATGCGTGTGTCACCTTGTGCGGGTGTGTTTCTGCGCGCGGTGTCCCCCCTGCAGGATGCCCCGTGGCAGGTGCTCCGTGTTGGGTACCCCAGCACCCGCTGCAGGGCTCCCGGGGCCAGCCCTGCTTCCCGGGAGAACCCGCTGGCCTGGGCCTTTCCCACACCACCCGGGAATTGCATCCCAAGCCATTAGCCCGGCTCGCCGCTAACCACATCGCTGCTGGGGCCGGTGCCCCTGGCACCTGAGCCGCCTTTTCAGAGTGACAGGGGTGGGTGGCACTCAGCGAGCTGCTGGGCTGGGGGCTCGCAGGGCCGTGGCCAGCCCCGTGCCTGTTAATTTTCCCGGAGAGGAATATGTGGAGCACCGGGCGAGGGCTGGGACGCGCGTCCCTAAATCGTGTGGTTTCCAGCCGGCCTGTGAGATGCAAATTGTCTGGTCAGCGAGCGCCAGAGCTAAACTTAGGGCAATTACAGGAGAGTGTGGGCACATGGCAGTGTGTTCCTACACCCCAAGGCTGGCCCTGGCACTCTGGCACTGTGGGACCCCTGCCCACTGCCCCATCCCAGCTCCCGTCAGGATCTGGGTGTTCCCACAGCACCTGCATCAGCCCTGGACTTTGCCCACTGACGAGATGTGGCTCGGCCCTTCACCTTTGCTGTGGGCTGGGCCATGCAGAGCACCAGGCTGTGAATTTGGGGCCAGATAAGGGTGATGAGGGAGCTGTGTGCCCTGTGCTGAGGGGGTGCAACCCGCCTGACCCCTCCAGCTGGTCATGGAACCATGTCCCACCTGGCAGCCCTGCCAAGATCCTGCCCCACCACCTCTGGGTCTGTCCTGTAAGACCTCTTGAGCTGTGTCATTCCCCAGCTTTGAGGCGAGGCATGTGGTTGAACCCCATGCACCCTCCTGGCCTGGGGTGACCCCTCGTCACCAGTCTGGGTCCTCTTTGCTGTTGGA